CGGTAAAAAAGATGTGGACTGGTTGCTGAAGCATTATGAGTGGGTCATGATATGAGAGGATCGACGTTGGCGCATTCTCCGTAGAAAACCCATTTATGTGGACCATTTGACAATTACATATGGTTATTACGAGTTGTTCAACACGAATGGGAAATTGTTCTTGCTTTCCGAGGAAGCACGAGGATGAAGCATTCATCGATGTCAATAGAGACCTCTACCGTCACAACCCATCGTCCCCGACTCATGGACGGAGAGCATGTACTTCCGGTTCGTCCTCAGCTACAGCAACAGAACCTTCACAACATCTACCGTCTACAACGAATCTACACCCTACAACCAGTTCATATGGCTACGCAGCCATTAGATGTCACCACCGCCATTCCCATACCAGATGCCGCCACCGCCGTAGAGTTATATGACCCCTCCTAGAGGATATTATAGTTTTATGTTTGTAGATCTAACTTGGGGTTCATATATTTGTTATTTAGAAGGTCTCGCATCACCACCGATGGCCACCGCACAGACACCTCTTGTACAGTTTTCTCACTTATCAATGTCTATCTTTTCTCAGTTTTCCTAATTTTCTATGAGCGATGGGATAGTCAGTCATACACCTCCAAGGTCCTTATTCTATGGAGGTGCGACATCATCATCAGTTCCTCACAAGGCTCTGATGACGACGATGATGATGATGGTGATAATGATAAGAGTGAGGAGTCATAACAAGTTATAAATTTTATTAAATCCTCCTCGAGATAGACAGCCACCGCCATGTGGAACACATTCAAGACGCAGTCATCGATAGATTCATAAATTTTATTATATTTGTATTTAATTTTTTTAGACAAATAATTGTACTTTTTTAATTATTTACCATTTAATACTTAATTTATTTTGTTAATTTTATTTATTACTTAATTCAAGCGAATTGTTTTATCATTTATTGTTTTTCAATTGTTTTTCTTGTTTATTAATTATTTACCTTTTATGACTTAATTTATTTTGTTTATTTTGTTAATTGAAGCAAATGAGTTTATTATTTACTGAATTTTAATCCCTTGTCTTGTATTTTTTTCTTGTTTAAATAATCGATGATGATAAAATAACATTAACTTAAGGTAAATGTGAATTAATTTACAAGAAATTCTTTGATAAAAAACAATTACATCAAGTACAACATCAATGGTTACTTGATGATAAAAGAGGGTACAATTTTTTCTACTCTGTCCTGGGTTTCTACAATGCCAACATCTTTTGATTTGTCTAGATGTTTCTCGAATATCCATATCACAATGAATTCGAGTGGATTTTGGACTACCATGATCCCTCAATAAAGACAGATATGGTACAATCGGAAGCTAATTCTGAACCTCATTAGGGCTTTTCTCATTTCCTATGGGGGAACTCAAATTCATATACCTTAAACACTTCTGATAGTAGGTATACTGGATCCACAAAACGATTATAGTCTTGACGGTTATGCAAGCAATATGCTAAGACATGAGAGCATGAATACTTCAGAGCTTGAGAAAACCCACAATTGCACCATCTATCTCGTAGATTAACTCTTAACGATTTAGATTCAATTCCTTGAAGAGGTCGAGGGATCTCTGTGATATGAAACAATTCATACGTCTAGAGAAGCTTTTTACAAACATTTCATTTGATGCAACAATTCTTTTTTGTAGATCTGTAACTAATCTAGGGTGATAGACATGACCATTTTGCATCCATGTTTGAGCTTGTCCCTTGAGCTTCGTAAAAAGCGCTCCCAAACGAAAATATGTCATTTTTACCAAAGTCGTTACAGGTAAATGACGTACCCCCTTTAAGGTCGAATTGATTGCCTCATCCAAGTTGGTCGTCATGTGTTCACATCGATATCCACCATCATATGCATTTTCCACATTTCTTTATTGATGAGATTGATGTAATCGTATCCTTCCTCATTCTTCTCCCGTAACTCTTGAAGCATTGACTCAAATGTTTGAGGTAGTAGTTCGTAACCTCAGCATCAAATGTATAACTTATTAACTTTGTTTCTATAAAAAATGAAAATGATAGAAATAAAAAATAATAACATTTTCACATACCCATACGCACAAGTAATTGGCGCTCGCCATTCTTCTTGAATCTTCCATGATTGTTGCAACAATGTGTCGAATACAGTACCTATGTTGGACATAGGGTGGTTACCACATTGGACCCAAAGAATCCATTGCTGCTTTGATCCCAGCTCCGTGATCTAAAATGACACATATTTTTTTGCTTGTGATAACATGTAAGCGTAAGTTTCAGAAGAAAAAAACCCAATAATCTATATCTTCTCTTCAACAAGGTAAAAAAGTAACTGAAGAATGTTGCGATTACTATATTGGACAACTGCCAATAGTAAAACTTGCTTGTATTTTCCATATAGAATGTCTCATTGATTTGGACCACTTGCAGTATTTCACAACATTAATGCATTGTGGGTAAGTCCAAAAAACCCGATAGAATTGACATTGATCGTGAAGAACTCAATCATTATGGTATGCACGACAAGTTTTGAAATCCATAACTATCCTAGGATTCAACCTGCGCACTACCCTAAACCAACATGGTAGTTTGTTGTAAATGCATCCTATTTGCCGTGAAGTTTTTAATCACACTCTGCTTTGCCATGCATGCTTTTCTGTATGAGACGAAATACTCATACTGCAATTGTATAGCTGAAATCAACACAACAATAGTTATATGAGAGCTTGTTTTTACCATAGGCATGATAGCTTGGCAGATCATTTCAGAGTCCAAGTTGGGATGATCTTGGTTGATCCCTCCAACACAACATGTGTGAAGACCATTGTATATCGTTAGTTCTCATATGTTATTTTTTCTCTTCCTCTTCGATACATGAACCATCCAATTGTATCTGTTATCACATTGGACACAGTGACAGACATACTTTTTGGTCATAGAGCGATCAACTATGGACTGAATATAAATACATATATTGTAATTTTTAATTGCCATCATCGTTTTTTCTTTGCTTGAAAACTACATTCCTAAATATAACTCACCATTAATTATTGATGAGTTAAATCATATTCACCGATATTAGGCATATAAGCAAATTCTGGCTCGTACATTGCACCATAGTCAGCTTCATACATGTGTGTTGGAGGTTCAGTGTGTACCACATTTGTGGGAACTTCATCTACATCATCATCATCATCGGAGTCTATGTTGAACTACGGTGATTCTGGGTGAACGAATAGTCTAGTCTTATCATCATCCGCACCTGGCTCACGAAGCGGTTCTTCTGGTGGAGATGAGGGTTCTTCCATGCTGTCCATATTTAGGTCAAAAAACCTGGTACTTTCATGCTTCCCTTTGAACTTGAAGGCATCTCGACATTGAGATCGAAGAAGCTTGCAGTAGAATGTCTCCCCCTGGAGCTTGAAATCATCGTGTCAAATGGAAACTGAACAGATTGTTCCGTCGAGGGTATCTCCATATTGAGGTCAAAGAAATTGGCAGATGAATGTCTTCCCCTTGAACTGGACGCGATGTTGCCATACAGATTGTTTGTGGGCCCATCTCGGTACAGATCGTAAGCAGTTGTTGATGAATGTCTCCCAATTGAACTTATGGGATAGCACCATGATGCGGATTTCCCATTATGACGGTAAAATAATTACACATTACTGTAGTTAGGCTGTCAACTTGATCAACTTGTTGAGCCATCCTATAGTGGGAGCATAATGACATATCCCGAACAACACACACTTCAACAAATTTTGCATACACTTTCGTATCGACGTCTAAATAATGATTTTGAAAGTCAACCATCATTGCAACATCATCATCGTTCAATAGTTCAAACGCTGTATAAGTTAACGGAAACACTGATGTTAAAAATTTATACTGAAGTGACGACAGTCTTCTAGTACTTCCAACATGAACCTTCATTAAAATCTCGTTATCAGCTCATCAAGAATTATGTTTCTCTTTAATGATATTTTAACATAACTCTTTTTGATGCGAATACAACGCCGATTTCATCTTCCCGAATTTCTCCATCATAGTAAACAATAGCTGAAATTAATGTCATTATAAGAGTTTGAAAGATAGACAATCTTATATCTGAAAAAATAATAGTTGAAATAAACATAATTAAATAAATAATATATGAATTAAAATATAACACGATAAAATATTTTAAAATAAAAGTAAATAATTTAAATAATATCATTTATATTATTACTGCATCGACAAAAATATTTCAATGTATAATCCGCATTCTAATTTTACAACCACAAAAAATAATAGAAAATAATTAGTACAATAATTTTTTTTCAAATAATCATATATAAAAAACTATTATATATTAAAAAATTACCTTACAACGAAAGATTAAATGAATTTGTGAAGAAAAGATAAGAGGAATTGATAGGTGATGTTTACGAGTTGAGAGGGTCTTATTTATAATCAAGGGAAAAGTTTAAAAGCTGAGAAGTTCATATACAATGATAAAAGACGCGGATTATGATTCGCACCTTTTTGGCGCATTTCATTATTGCAGAAAAATGCGGATGATGATAGGTACATTTCTGTAAAAGATGCTAGATCGATAAAAAAAATTTAAACGGTATCTGATACATAAATAAAAAAACATGATGACTTTTTGATAAATATGCCACCAAAGCGCTTCCCTTTTTCCAAAAAAAAAAAAAAATAATTAAAATCATTTTAAAACTTCTTAAATTAATTGGCTTAATTCTTAAATAAGTACTCAAATTATTCTTTTATCAAATATGTATTTAATTTTTTTTATTTATTTTGATGTTTAATATTACAAATTTACTCTTTTAAGTATTGAATTTATTTCTTTAAGAACCCCATAAATAAAAAACCCGTACACACTTAAAAAAAATATGATTTAGATAGTATTAAACCTTTTTAAATATATATATATATATATTTTTATTTTACTGACTCTCGAGTCGGCGTTCGAAAAGTGAGCCGACTTTATGTCACCGAAAGATCTTGAGAAGCTCTATCAACGGCTGAGATTCAGCAGACACCTCCTTGATGGTGGTAAATTGGTCCAACTCCTCATTATCCGGTTCAGCATTTTATTTTCGTTGCCGGACAGGCTCGCCGTGCTCTGTACATCGATGCTCTGTCTATTAGATTCTTACCCTTTAGATTCGACCATTGACTCCGGCGATTCACCGGTTTCCCTCGGGTCAATTCACCTTGAGTTTTCAGCCGATCCCTTCGCCACACTACCGGAGCTGCCGTTGCAGGAATCTCCGCCCGCAGGCTTCACGCTCTGCGTCACCTTCGCCGTTTCATATCCAACGGTTTAATTTCCGCTTCCACCGACCCGGTTCCCGGACTCTTCTCTTTCAGATATGTAGAATTAGATTCATTTACCCGAATGGTTCTCCTGGTCGGGCTCTTCCCTGCTATGAATCTGTCTTCGGATTTTATTCTCGGTTCATTATCTTGTTCAATTTTTTCGCTTTCCTTATCTCTCTTCATATCCGATTTTCCAGTTTCTTTTCCATTCTCTATCAAGCTATGTTCTCTATCTTCTTTCAGTTTCTGCACCTTCAATTGTAAGGATCTGTAAAAAAAAAGAGCAAGAAAAAACAAACTTTGTTTTTTGTCCGCGAAAAATAATTAATTTTTTTACATTAAAAATTTGATTTAGTAATTTTTTACACGATGGAGAGATCATATTGTTGGACTTGGCGGCGTAGTTCAGCGACGCGGAGTTTCCGGAGCTCATCAAGCCAAGGAACGGCGGCGATGAAGACGTTATTAGTAGTTTTATCGTCGCGCCGCCGTTTACAGCGAAACGGCGTTTAAGGTATTCAAACTTGTGTTGACAGGAGAGGGGTAAGCGTGGAAGTTCGTTTCTGGAGTTCCATGGCAACGGAGTCCCAACTGTCGCTGCCGTAACGATGAACGACGCAGGCAAGTAAAATCTCCTCCCATGTACTCCATGTTTGTTTCTCGGGAAAGCTGTGGAGTTTAGCCATGAAACAAAAGAAAAGAAGGAAATAATATTAATAGTATCGGAGACGGTCATGGTTCTCGTTATTTACGATTTGTATCCTTTGCGAATAATAAATTACTATATTTTAAAAATAAATTTCCCACTTTACCATTCGGTCTGAATTTTCAAAGATAAATAACAAGGAAACAAATAGCTAGCAAGGTTCAAGCATTGTTCCCTCTCGTTTTTTATTCTTCTGTTTTGTGAATTGTGTGGTTTTATAATTGGGTAAACTGTACATTTACTGCATCAACTCACATTTATTTTATTTTCATCACTCAATTATTTTTTTAAAATCATATCTAAGTTACGTTTTGATTTTATTTTAGTCATTTATCGTTAAAAATTAACAATTTGTTTTATTTTAGTCATCCACTATAAAAAAAATTAACAAAACTACTGACAAGATATTTTTTAAAAGTTTTCAATGATAGAGTAACATTGTCTTATGATGACACGCTAGTTTTACCGTTAATTTTTTAACTGTGAGTTACCAAAATAAAATCAAAATATAATGTTATATATGATTTTGTAATAAAAAGTATTTGGTAAACAAAACAAAAAAGTGATAATTAGATACTAAATGTGTTGTTACCTATTATAATTTTGGCTCACGAGCTTTTTTTTTGAAGTATATATATTTTTAAGATAAATGTCAATATTAGAACTCGCATAAAATAGAGTTAATTATATTATATATCCCTAAATTATAACCTCATTTTAAATTGATCCTTAGACATCTGAATATTCTAATTTCATACACAAACTATGAATCACATTCTAAATTAGTTCTTAAAACTTTTTGATCATTATAATTTCATCCCTAAACTACAACTTTTTCTAAATCCCTAAAATTTTCCAATTTAGTCCCCAAATTTATCCAAATATGTTATTAGTTTCAACCCTAACCCTAGTTTAACCTAATTTTTTTAAAAACATATCATAATATAACTTGGCCTAACAATTTTATTAACAAGGATGTGATTAGTATATTTTTATAGTATGGAATGTAATTGGAATATTCAAAAGTTTGGGGATCAATTTAAAATGTAGGTCATAGTTTGGAGATGAAATTGAAATGTTCAAAATTTTGAAGTCTAATTTAAAATGATAGTCATAATTTAAGGATAAAATTATACAATAAAAGATTAGAGGCAATTAACTCCTTAATAAAATAATATAAATAATTTTACCACTTAGCACGAGCTTTTATTTGATATAAAGACTGTATTATAGTTAGGTTAATAATTAACGTATTTATATTGTATTTGTTTATCATATCATTTTTCACTCCTTATTTTTTTTTAATTTGATCAATTTCTAAGGGAGTATTTGATTCGAAATTTTAGTTTACCTTTCAGAACAACATTATTAAAATATAACATTACTATGTGAATGTTATGTTATCTTGTTTGGTTTGTTTAGTATGAATATAATATTATATTGTTTGGTTGAAGAAATATAAGATTACTTGGATGCTTATTTTATCAAATTATCCTTGTGATATATGTTTTTCTTTAAAATTTAAATTTTAATATTAAATTATAAATATTTGAATAAAATTCATAAAATTATTTTAATCATTATACTAACTTTGAGAGAAAATTACATTTAATATATAATTAATATATTAAAGTTTATTTTTAAATAATTTTCCAAAATATCATGTTTCTTTATATAAAATATAATGTAATATAAAATTAATATTATGGTATTGAGTGGATAAATATATTGTTTTTCAATGTATAAGATATATTTTTTAATAACTCAAAGTTAGATACTGTTTTAAATAATTACATTTTTACAATAATATTATTTTTTCACCTCATAAAATTATAAATAATTAATATATTAAATATTAAAGATATGCAATATTTTTAAATACTTAAAATTTATTAATATTTTACTAAATCAAACTCTTTGTATATTATTATCATATTTATAATTTTGAGTAAAGTAAAAACATAAAAATCAAGAATGATCATTATAAAAAAGAACTCATTAATTCAAGGGTATTATTGTCCAAACCTAAGAATAAAAAAGTGTTATTATTGATAATAATCTTTTCCGTGAACCAAAGGTAATGATACAATTATGAAAAAATTATTTCTTTTATAATAATATTTTTCGTGAATCAAAAGTAGAATGCAATTATAGAAAAATTATTCCCCTTTAAATAATTTTTTCAAAAGTTGTATTTCATTTACAAACCCTTTTAAAATGATCAACTTGTAGCGGATTGAGAAAAGGTGTTAGATTTGAGAGGAAAACTAAGATTGTAATCTCAATCGTTGATGTCACACCTAATTTTCTTTGACATTGATTTATATTTAATTTTAATTATTTATGAGGACCAAATAGTAAAACTTTAAAAATTTGAGGTCACTTTCATAAGTTTTAGGAAGCTTAGAGACTTAAGCTAGAATTATACCATCATATGCCCTGTAACAAAAAAATGAATATTGTGGCCGGTGGGTTTCATACCCAAACCAAAGAGAATGTAATAAATAATAAAAATATGTTTTATATTATTGATTTTTGGTTTTTTAACTAAAACCCCAAATTTGGCAAACCAACCCCAGTGATAAAACCCAAAAATCCTCAAAAGAAAAAACCCCAAAATCCCTAAGTCTTCCCCACCGACCCTCCGATTCTCAATCGTCCAGTCGTGTTTAATGCTCCATCACCCCCATCGTGACCGTCGCATCGCTCTGACCAAAACCCCTTTAATCAATCGTCGAAATGAGCTACCGTTCATTAGGAATGAACGGTTGAAAGTTCATCGAAGCCCAGCCATCGCCACATGGTTTTGCTTCGATTCTAGTCGCCTCGTCCATCATCTCGCCTTGCTGTCACTACCACTAGACTCACCATCACCGTCCGCTCTTAACCCAACCCTTGGGTCACTCAATCATCGTTGATTTCCTCGTCGTCGGTGTGGGTAAGCTTGAGATATTTCAATTAATTATTTTTCTCAGCTTTGACATGTTTTTGGTTGAAATTTTAGGTAAAACTTGATTGTGTTGTTGTTTAGGTAATGTTGAAGTTCTCGGCTGCCGTCTCCCTACCCGTCGCTGCTGCCATGCGTTGTTGTGTGCGCGTGGGGCTCCTCCCCAGCCACGATTTCTTCTAGAAACGGTCTAGGTGGACTGAACTGGTCCAACCCGGTCTGAACCAGGTTTATTTGACCCGACCCGAGTCAACCCAAATCGACCCGTTGAATTTGACCTGACTCGTTGACCATCGACCGGTATGACTATTGACTTTGACCAAAAAAGTTAATTTTTTTTGAAAAGTCATATTTTATGTTTTTCGACGTCCTGAGTCTGAATCCGAAGTTTGTTTCCCCAAATTCAATCCCGATAAGCTATTTTCAGCATTTTACATTTCAATTCTATCCGTTTTCCACAATTAGTTTGTTTCTGATGTAATTTTTGCTTATATGTATCCGAGATATTGTTGGACGTTTGATTCAAGTTTGAGAGTGATCGAATGGAGTTTAAATGTTCGATCGGTGGAGCACGAAAATTGAGGTAATACATTATTACCTTATGTATCTTTATGGAATAGGCCGACATTGGATGATGTATGGATAAATAAGTTTGGTTACATGTGTGTAACAAATATATTTCTAAACTCGTTCCAAATGCGATAAAAAGTAATTAAACTGAAAAAGACTAAGATTACACGTATACGACACAAGAAGATTGATAAGAAATGATTTCAAGTCCAGTGATTAGTCTGAAGAGCAAGTAACCTTAAAATCTCTCAATTTATTTATCATCGCTAAAAGCTTTGATACTGAAATTACTTGATTATAAAATTATAAAATTGCCCCTATGAGATAAAAATGACCCAGACTGACCTGAGAGCGAAGTTGTAACACCCCAACTTGTATATGACCCATATACGAATCCGAGGTTTCACATTGACTTTTTAAAAACTCATTGAAACTTGTTGAAATTTTAAACTTTTCTTTATATTAAAGTAGTGAAACCCTTATATCAAAATTTATATTGAAAATGCAACTTACATTGTAATTAAGTACTTAATAATTTATGTAATTGCAACACAATATGTTTATAAAACGAATTAGATCATTACAATTCAAAAATTTATAATACATGCCAACAAAATCACAAAATAATAAGAACCTACATTCAAATTGTTATGATCTGATCCTATGCAGAAGTATGTTGTCCTCTCCTAGCTTTAGTTATCAGATCCCTTTGAACCTACGTGTGAAACAATCACACGCTAGTCGATGACTTAGTGAGGTAATACAAGTATAATAAAACATTTTTTATTCACTTCAAAGAAACATTTAATAAAAATAATTTATACTTGTTTCCATTGTTCCATTTTATAACTTTGTTTTAATAGTCCAATGCATATTACTGAGAATTCTAGGTATATGAGTACTGAAAATTGTTACTTTCATTCCAAATTTATTTAATACCTTATTTTCAACATGTCAAGCTTATCAGCTGCACCTCTTTAAAATCCTTGTCATACTTGGTTCTCCAAACCGTTCACTTTAATTTCTTATATCTTTATTACCTTAACATCCTATACTCTTCAATTTCCTTGATTTTTCTATTATGTCCTTAACATGTACTTATATATTCTTCCTTTACTCTAACCACTTAAACTTGAACTTTACCTCTATATTTCTTGTTCTATATTCTTTACAAATAGCACTGGAGCCTCCGTGAGAACTTTCTTTAAGGATTCAAAACTCTTTGACATTTATCTGTCCATATGAAAGGCATATATTTCTTTAATAGCTTGGTAAAAGGGAAAGAAATCATCAAAAAGTCCTTTACGAACCTTCGATTATCCCGTCGAACCTAAGAAACTCGTACTTCAAAAACATTTCTTAGGACTTCCCAATCTAATATATCTTTTTTTTCTAAGGATCTACCCAAATCCCCTCTGCAGAAATCATGTGTCCAAGGAATGCCACTTCAGTGAACCAAAACTCACACTTAGACAACTTAGCATAAAGCTTCATATCTCGATCAATTTGTTGTTATCTTCATTAACCTTGAGAATTCATATTTTTAATTAGATAAATCACTGTTTCATAT